CCGCTCCCAGTGCTCACGGCAGGCGGGAGGATTCGGGGCCTCACTGGAACGGCTGGGCAGCTCTCCACCTGGCGCACCCCGCGCCCTCCACATTCCACTGTCCAGAGACATCTGTGTGGGATCTCGCTCCCCCGTTAGGGAACCTCCCCAGCTCCTTCCACCCAGCCTGCCCAGGGCGCCGCAGGCTCAGCCCAGGAGCAAAGCAGATGGTGCCTCATGGGTCCGGACCCCAGACTCCCCTTGGCCGAGCTGCGCATTACAGACGGTGGGGCCGGTGGGCAGCAATGTGCCCAGGGACATGCGCCCGAGGGTCACAGCCAGGCACCTCCCTCCTCGGTCCAAGTCCCCAGCTCCCCAGACCCCAAGTGACTTATGGGGCCTGAGCAAGAAGGGTGGGCCTGGGCGGGGGGTCCTCAGCCACCAGCCACCTTCAACCACCCCTCAGGGGCAGACGGGGACAGTGCAGCGTGGCGTGGAGCCGTGGTCCCAGCCCCAGGCCCAGCCACGGAGGGAAAGAGACAGAGACCCAGCAGCCAGAAGGAGGCTGCCTGTGACCAGCGGGGCTCTGCCAGGAGCCCAGGGAGACAGGTGACTGCCTGGCCCCAGCTCCCCGATAGGAATCAGCTGCTCTGGCAGGCCCCTGGTCCACGGTGACTTGGGAACACCAGTCAAATGCACGTTCTTTGTCAGAGCAGTTGCACATGCCCCATGGCAGAGCCCTAACCCGGGCGGTGCTGGCCAGAGGCCCCTCAGCCGCTTTGTGTAAGGGACAGCTCCACGTGCCCAGGAACCGGCCTCCATCAGCACTGGTCCCACTGGGAGGGCCGCGCCCAGCAGACCCAAGGCCGGCGGGGAGCAGCCAGGAGCGGGCAGGATGAACGCTCGTTTCCCTCTTCAGCCACTCTGAGGGTGGGTGCGTGAGCCCAGGGCCACCTCAGGGCAGGGGCAGGGGTACCCTAACTCAGAATACAGCAAAGGACAGAGTCAGCTTCTGGGTCTCAGATCCCAGGTCGAGGGCTGCAGGAAGGAAGTCTCCTGTCCTGAGGCTGGCAGTGGAGTGGACTGCGGGTCGGCCAGGGGCTGGCAGGAGGGGGTTCCCTGTAGGACTCCTCCCGCCCGTCCTCCACCATCCAGGGCCACCCACCTGCCCTCGTGCACACCCCCAGCCCTGCTCCAGTCTCTGCTTCCCGGAGTCTGGGGGCGAACCCTCACCACCAGGAAGAACAGTTCTCACCGTTCCCCAGTGGCACCAGCATCCCTGGCCTCCATGCACCGTCCCTGCACCGTCCCCTCCCTGTCCCCCGGGCCCAGGGCCATGGAACCTGGGAAGGTGGCTCCAGGTGCCGCACACTTCGCCAGAAACAAAGGGAGTATCACCCTGCTTCCCGGTCACTGTGGTCTCTTTGCGCAGCGCTGGCAGAGGCCGGTGGGGAGGTGGCGAAGCAGAAGCCAGGAGGCCGCCTGAGGACCTGCCCACAGGGACAGGAACAGAGAGCCCAGCAGGGCCCCAGCCCTGTCAGGCCATGCCTGGGCACACCCAGGAGGCGCCTCCTCACCTGTCCGCTGTCTAGAAGCTTCACAGCAACTCTTGCTGTCCAGAAGGGCAGGTGGGGAGACAGGGCCTATGCTCCCTCTAGGGGTTGCCCCTCCAGGGGTGGGCACAGGAGGACTGAGCCCTTGAATGTGAAGCTGCCAGGATCACCACCCCTACCGGCCCCTGTGGCCTCCAGGGCCCTGCCCTGGGTCTGACCATCTACCAAAGCCAGGAGGGGCCTGGCCCAGGGCCTCAGCCTGGGGGCAGCCGGCCGCCCCAGCTCCTTGTGTGCGGGTCCAAGGAAAAGTGGGCAGGAGGGCTCAAGTCTGGTATGTTCCACCAGGAGGAAACTGGCCCGGGGGCTGGGTATCAGGAGGGCTCCCAAGACAGCCCCGGGTGCCCTGGCCCCTCCACCTGCCCCCAACCCTCAACTTGAGCTCCTGGCCTATCCCAAGGGCCCCTGCCGTTCCCCAACCAGCCAGTGCCTCATTCCAGCAGCTATTTGCTCTTGGCCTCCCTGACCAGCTTTTTATTTGGGGGTAGCTCTGTCACCCAGGCTGGAGTGCAGCGGTGCAATCCCGTGGGGCTCCCTGTAGCCTGGGCCTCCCGCAGCTGGAACCTAACTTCTCCTGCAGGAACCTCCTGCACCTGGAACTCTAGGTTCGCACCATGCCTGGCTCAACTTTCATTTTTGTAGACAAAGTCTCACCACGTGTGCCCAAGCTGTTCTCAAACTTCTGAGCTCAAGCAATCCTCCCACCTTGGCCTCTCAAAAGTGCTAGGATTCCAGGCGTGAGCCACCACGCCGGGCGATGGACCGGCTCCTTGAGGTAGGATTATTTTCCATTCCTCTAAGTCGCCTGGGTGGGGTGGACACAGTTACCACGCAGGCAACTTCAGGGTCCCAGACGGTCAGTGCACCCCACGGGACACAGGCCGGGGGTAGGGCCTTTGCAAGTCACAGGCACCCAGAGGCAGCGGGACCAGGCCTGAACCCAAGAGCTCTGGAGAGCAGCCAGCATGAAGCCCATTGCTAGGAGGCTGGCACACCAGGACAGGTGGGCAGAGCTCTGGTCACTGGTTGGTGACGTGCCTGCCGTCTGGGCCCAGGCATACTGCCCTGCAGGCCCCCACAGCCAGGATCCTGATGGACATCCTCTGGGGCCTGCAGGGCCACATGAGCCCCAAACCCCAAACCCTTCCTCTGGGCCCTGAGTCCACAACCATCAGACACCCCTGAACCCCAACCACTTGCCCTTCTGCTTTCAGGAAATTGGCTTTCCCAAGGGCGCTCCCAGGGGCCAGCTGTCCTGGGGTGGGTGGGGTGGGAGGGGCAGGCAATTCCCTACCCACGCTCCACTCCCCTGGGGCTGAGACCACCAGGCCTGCACCTTCTTCCCTCTCTGGAGCTGTACACAGGCAGCTCTGACCCTGCCTGGGGCCCCTCTTGCCCCTCCTCGGCCTCAGCCCAGGGGCCCTGGTTGTATAACAAGTTCTCACATTGCAGGAGCTTAGAGTTCTTAATGTGACAATTACCGGCTTCTAATCCCAACACAAAGGCTGCCCCGAGCACCTCCAAACGCCAACGACCCTGGCTGGAGCCGCTGCAGATGGAATGGGGTCAGAACCCGCCTGGCTGGAGCCACTGCTGACAGAATGGAGGGTCAGAACCCGCCTGGCCGGAGCCGCAGTGTAAGGAATGGAGGGTCAGAACCCGCCTATCTCCCCACCTACTTGTTTCCACGTGGCTGCAGGCTTTGTCAGAACCTCAGGCTGAGGTTGGGCGGTGTGGAATTCCTGCATTTCTTTTACACACAGCTGACCAGAGACACAATACTGTCAGCTATCTCCAGGGCACCAAGGCCAGAGGCCTGCCTCATGCAGATTCACCGAGTTCTCCCCCATCAGTCACACGATCCTTGTTAACCCTCAGGCTGCGAGGCACACAGTCCGTATCTGGAAATCTGGGTCTGATCAGATCTTCCTGCTGTCAGGTAGAGAAACCGAGCAGGTTTCCAGCATGTGAGTATCCCTGGCCCCCTGGCCGCCACGCAGTGTGGGTTTCCTCGTGGCGACAGGCCGTTCCTTGGGCCAGCTCAGGCAGCCAGATTCTCGCCGGCACCGCATTGCCTGGCTGTGTTGTACTTCCCATCATTTAAAGGCACAAAAGAGAAGCCTGAGGTGGGTCTAAGCAGCCCCCTCCCCACTGTTGGGTGAACTAGAGGTGAACACAGCAGGGCCCAGCGGTGGAGCTCCAGGAACAAGTGCCCTGGCTGTTGGCAGGGCTCAGGCCCGGAGTCACCACAGCCTCCTGGAGCCAAACCCCCAGGGAAAGAGTGGCAACGGCCTCTTCTTCCTCCAACACTCCTGGGCCGTGTCTGCTTCCCCAGTCCCCAGAAGCCGGGCACCAGGCAGTGTGGAGGTACAGGTCCAGAGATGACTAGAGGGACGGATTCCTCCTCTGCCCTGCGCAGGCACCCCACCGGCCACAATCTTCTCAGCAGGCGAGGACAGGCCTCCACAGCCCCAGAGCCCGTGCTGGGCCCAGATCCTCATGGGGACCCTGGGACTCTGGGCTTTTCCCTGTCCCCCCGCTGGCCTCTCCAACAGCAGAAGTGAGCATTTAGAGCGTGGCCAGGGGGCTCTCAGGAGGGCAATAGACCCCAGATCTGAGAATCACAGGTCCCTGCCCAGGGGTAAGACATGAGGTCGTATGGCCAGCATGGGCAGAAGCTTGAAAGCCCCCAAGCCACACCTGGGCCAGCAGCAGCCACCCAGGGTGATGCCGGGTGCACAGTTGGTCAGCGGCTCAGCAGCTCACCCTGGCCTGCAGCCAACCCAGCAGGGTCCACGGGCCCAGCAGCAGAGCTGGAGAACACAGCAGGAAAATGGCCGGCCCCGAAAAAGAGGTTAGAGGGAAAGGCAGGAGCCGCTGGCTGAGCTCGGGGGCCACAGGTGCATGCCGTGGGGCTTCGTGTCAGGCACCCATGGGGCCTGGGGTCTGCTCTACGCAACAGACATTGTACAGGTGCCCAGGGTTCCCGGCCTGGGATGGCGAAGAGTGGCCTGTCCAGAGGGCCCCAGCTAGGCAGGCGGGCTCTGCAGGGCAGCAGGGTCAGAGGCACGTTTCCACCTCTGAGCAGGATCCGAGCACCTTGACGCCCACAGGGACAGGAGGGGCCTGCGGATCACCTTGGACAGGCCCAGCCGCTGAGGACCTCCAGCGCCACCAGGAGCCACAAGGTGCCCACTCCACGTCCAGGCCTGCCCCATGCAGGCTGCAGCTCAGCCACTGCTGGGACAGTGCATGGGGACAGGAGCAGGGAGAGCACAGCAACAGTCACAGCAGGGCCAGGCCCCGGCCACACTATGGCCCCAGCGCCCAGGGGTTTTGGGAACAGGACGCATAGGCACTTCCAGACGGGCTTCGCAAGATGATTTTCCAGTGACAAAAGCACAGAGAAGGTTGCAGCCAATTCAGGTTTTACTGGACATTCACGACAGAAGCAGAGGTGCCCCCAAGTGCGTCACACAGCCCACTGGTTGCCCAGGGCTGCTGGCCGGCAGGAGCGCTCCACAGCGGCCTCACTCACGCCTCCGCACACCCTCTGCAGAAGCAGTCCCTGAGACTCAAGAGCACAGCTCGCCCTGGTGGAGTGTCTTCCCAGCCGCAGGCCCTCTAGAAGACGGAGGAAGCAACACGTTCCTGTCACTCAGGCCCAGACACCAGCCACCGCCACCCCTCCCAAGGGCACCCACGGCCTGTGGGACCCGGATCCGTTCAGCAGAGCCTCAGCGCCTGGGTCATCTCGGCAACCCAGGATCGTGGCCTACGTGGCCCTGCCCACAACCCCCCACTACCCACCAGCAGCAAATGGCAGAAGAACCACCCAGTGCCTCAGAGCTTCGGCAAGCAAGGCAGAGCCAGAGACCGCCCCAACCAGGCAAGTGAGACCCAGTTCCGCTTCCCCACGGGCAAGGCTGATGCCACCCTGACCGGTCAAGACAGCAGCAGAGGCCTCACCTCGCCCTGCCTGCAAAGGAGGGAGTCTATTCCACCCCCAGCTCTGCCAGACACTCCTGCAGTTCCCAGTGTGGGCCACGGTCCCCTGCCCACCGCCAGCTCATCACTCAGACCCAGCACAACACTCCCGCCCCGAGAACCATCGCTGACCCCCAGCGGGCCTTGGTAGTGACGGGAGCGGCCGTCAGGCCTGGCTGGGCAGCGTCTTGTAGGGGTTGAGGATGCCCTTGGGGTCCAGCAGGGCCTTGAGCTGCTGCATGAGCTGCAGGGCCTCGCGTGGCTTGCTGTAGCCCAGCACGTCCCTCTTCCTGAAGCCCACGCCATGCTCCGCGCTGACGCTGCCCTGCTGCCTGGCCGTCCACTCGTACACGTGAGGCTCCAGGGCGCCCAGGAGCGACGGGCTGAAGGCCTCCGCCGTCACATTGAGGTGTAGGTTACCGTCTCCTGGAAGGACAAGGGCACTAGGGTCAGGCTGGGCGGGGCAGCCTCCGGGACCCACTCCTCCCCCCACAGCCCCTCCTGAGATTCCTTCCCCAGCAACTCCAAGACCCCCCTGGCTGAGCCTCACCCTCGCGACACCTGCTCTGGGACGTCGGCTACCTTGGCTTCTCCATGCTTCTCTCCCCAAGTTCTCCCCCGCTTCCGACACCCTCCGCTTGAGGCCAGCCCAGGGCTCCCATCTCCCTGAGCCGAGACTGATCACTTGAGCGACCACCTGCCACTGCCTCCGTCCTGACCTGGAAGAGCCCAGGGCAGTCTCCCAGCCTGTACCCCCAGCACCTGGTCAGATAGAGGGGTCCACAGTGGTGCCCAGGGCCGCTCTATCCGGATGCCCCCATCAAACCCCAAAGTCACTGCCCCTGGGGCAGCTCCATCTGGATGACCCCCCAACAGTCACCACCCCAGGGCAGCTCTATCAGACACTCCCCACCACAGTCACTGCCCCAGGGCAGCTCTATCAGATACCCCCCACCATAGTCACCACCCCAGGGCAGTTCTATCAGACACCCCCCCCAGTCATTGCCCCAGGGCAGCTCTATCTGGATGTCCCCCCAACCAAACCCCAAAGTCACTGCCCCTGGGGCAGCTCTACCTGGACGCCCCCCCCCCCAGTCACCACCCCAGGGCAGCTCTATCAGACACCCCCATCCCCCACAGTCACCACCCCAGGGCAGCTCTATCAGACACCCCCATCCCCCACAGTCACCACCCCAGGGCAGCTCTATCAGACACCCCCATCCCCCACAGTCACCACCCCAGGGCAGCTCTATCAGACACCCCCATCCCACAGTCTCCGCCCCTGGAGCTGTGCAGCCAGTGCCCACTGCAGACACAGTCCAGCCCCCAGCCACCTCCCCTCCAGTCCACTCACCCCACAATGAGCCCCCAGAGCAGTGCCTCTCAGAACTCTCCCAACAGACCCTGGCTCTGGCCCGGCCCAGGCACAACCCCCTCTTCTGACCTCAGAGATGAAGCAGGTGATGGCTCAGAGAGGCTGGGCAGAGCCAGAGTCAGGGCCAAGTGAGGACCCCACCCCACCTCCAGGCCAGCAGGAGAGGGAGCCAGAAACCAGCTCAAGGGCTGCCAGGACAAGAACAGTGGCTTTTAACGCAGAGCTGGACACTGAGGAGGGACCCCAGAGGCAAACCAGGACGCACCACCCCGAACTGTGCCATGTTGGGGTGAAGACTGTGTTCCCACAAAGGAACTGAGAAGCGGCAGGTCCAAGAAAAGCTCTCCCCACTCACATGATGCCTAAGAGTACAACAGGAATTATGGGCAGAGGCCCCTCCCTCTACTAGCATGGACAAAGGTAAAGGCAGCTCAGGCCTTGCCATCCTCTGCCAGCTCCATGCCCCCTCCGAGACACCACCTGGAGACTCAGTCCACGTCCTGCCTGTGACATCCCTAAATCGTGACTGTTGGTTGAGAGACCATGTGGGCCTGAATTCACAGCCACCTGTTTGAGAATCACTCATTCCCGGGGCTCCCAGGTGGCTGTGAAACCCACATGTTGATGAGCCTGTGCTTCTCCTGTTAATCTGTCTTTAGCTACAGGGTCCATGCCAGCTGGGAACTAGAACAGGAAATAGACAGAAAACTATTTCTCCACCCCTACCAGAACAAACCCCAGGCAGGGAGTATAGCAGGGACCCCTCAGTCCCCCCGAGGCAGGGAGTAAAGCAGGGCCCCCCTCAGTCCCCCCGAGGCAGGGAGTAAAGCAGGGCCCCCCTCAGTCCCCCCGAGGCAGGGAGTAAAGCAGGGACCCCCCCTCAGTCCCCCCAGGGCAGGGAGTGTAGCCGGGACCCCTCCTCAGTCCCCCCGAGGCAGGGAGTATAGCAGGGACCCCCTCAGTCCCCCCGAGGCAGGGAGTATAGCAGGGACCCCCTCAGTCCCCCCGAGGCAGGGAGTAAAGCAGGGACCCCCTCAGTCCCCCCGAGGCAGGGAGTAAAGCAGGGACCCCCTCAGTCCCCCCGAGGCAGGGAGTAAAGCAGGGACCCCTCCTCAGTCCCCCCGAGGCAGGGAGTAAAGCAGGGTCCCCTCCTCAGTCCCCCCGAGGCAGGGAGTAAAGCAGGGCCCCCCTCAGTCCCCCCGAGGCAGGGAGTAAAGCAGGGCCCCCCTCAGTCCCCCCAGGGCAGGGAGTAAAGCAGGGACCCCCTCAGTCCCCCCGAGGCAGGGAGTAAAGCAGGGACCCCCTCAGTCCCCCGAGGCAGGGAGTAAAGCAGGGACCCCCTCAGTCCCCCCAGGGCAGGGAGTAAAGCAGGGACCCCCTCAGTCCCCCCGAGGCAGGGAGTAAAGCAGGGACCCCCTCAGTCCCCCCGAGGCAGGGAGTAAAGCAGGGACCCCCTCAGTCCCCCCGAGGCAGGGAGTAAAGCAGGGCCCCCCTCAGTCCCCCCAGGGCAGGGAGTAAAGCAGGGCCCCCCTCAGTCCCCCCGAGGCAGGGAGTAAAGCAGGGCCCCCCTCAGTCCCCCCAGGGCAGGGAGTAAAGCAGGGCCCCCCTCAGTCCCCCCGAGGCAGGGAGTAAAGCAGGGACCCCCTCAGTCCCCCCGAGGCAGGGAGTAAAGCAGGGACCCCCTCAGTCCCCCCAGGGCAGGGAGTAAAGCAGGGCCCCCCTCAGTCCCCCCGAGGCAGGGAGTAAAGCAGGGCCCCCCTCAGTCCCCCCGAGGCAGGGAGTAAAGCAGGGACCCCCCCTCAGTCCCCCCAGGGCAGGGAGTGTAGCCGGGACCCCTCCTCAGTCCCCCCGAGGCAGGGAGTATAGCAGGGACCCCCTCAGTCCCCCCGAGGCAGGGAGTATAGCAGGGACCCCCTCAGTCCCCCCGAGGCAGGGAGTAAAGCAGGGACCCCCTCAGTCCCCCCGAGGCAGGGAGTAAAGCAGGGACCCCCTCAGTCCCCCCGAGGCAGGGAGTAAAGCAGGGACCCCTCCTCAGTCCCCCCGAGGCAGGGAGTAAAGCAGGGTCCCCTCCTCAGTCCCCCCGAGGCAGGGAGTAAAGCAGGGCCCCCCTCAGTCCCCCCGAGGCAGGGAGTAAAGCAGGGCCCCCCTCAGTCCCCCCAGGGCAGGGAGTAAAGCAGGGACCCCCTCAGTCCCCCCGAGGCAGGGAGTATAGCAGGGACCCCCTCAGTCCCCCCAGGGCAGGGAGTAAAGCAGGGACCCCCTCAGTCCCCCCGAGGCAGGGAGTATAGCAGGGACCCCCTCAGTCCCCCCAGGGCAGGGAGTGAAGCAGGGACCCCCTCAGTCCCCCCAGGCAGGGAGTAAAGCAGGGACCCCCCCTCAGTCCCCCCGAGGCAGGGAGTAAAGCAGGGACCCCCTCAGTCCCCCCGAGGCAGGGAGTGTAGCAGGGACCCCGACAGTCCCACCGACACACACTCAAGCCAGAGAGGGGTAAACACAACCCCCACCAAGGCCGTGCCCAGGGAGGACTGGCTGGGAAAGGAGAAGCAGCATTTCCACAGAATACGTTGGCTGGCTTGTTTTTTCGAGACAGGGTCCCCTCCATCACCCGGGCTGGAGTGCAGGAGAGCGATCCTCAGTCTGCACATCCACCACCCGTGCCCAGGCAGCCCTCCTAGCTCAGCCTCCTGAGGAGCTGGGACCACAGGCGTGTGCCACCACACCCAGCTAATTATTTCTTTGTAGAGATGGCGGGGGGGTCTCACTATGCTGCCAGGCTGGTCTTGAAGTCCTGACCTCAAGCAGTCCACCCATCTCTGCTCCCCAAAGCGCCAAGACGACAGGTGTGCGCCACGTGCCTGGGGTCCCACAGAGTATGTGAGCACAGTCACGCTTCACAGCAGTGGCTCCCTCAACCCCGGACCACAGAGATGACGTTAGTCCCAAACCATTACAGTGGAGCAGAAAAATTCCCATCGCTTCAATTATGACGTCACCAGGTTGTAGCACAATTACTTTTTAAAATCTGTTTGGTGTAGTTCTGTGTGCGATCAGGTCTAGAGGAGTGCACAGGCCCTACGCTCTTGCCCACCACTTACCCACCACTCACCACTCACCACTCACCCACCAATCACCCACCGGTCACCCGCGGCTCATCCACCACTCACCCACCACTCACCCACCACCCACCGCTCACCCACCACCCACCGCTCACCCACCACTCACCCACCGCTCACCCACCACCCACTGCTCACCCACCGCTCACTCACTGCCTTGCCAGAGCCCCAATTCTGCAGACCCACCTGTGGTAAGCACCCTACACAGATGTGGCATTTTTTATACCACACTTCTCTGGTGCCTTTCCTAGGACAACCTTTTGTGTTGAGGCACACACTAGCATCGTGTCACAACGGCTTCCAGCGTGACGTGGATGACAGCTGTGGTTTGTCACCTCAGGCGATGGCTATGCCACACCGCCTCGGTGTGTACAAGGCTGTGCCGTCTGGGCATGCGTGCCCTCTGTGGTGCTCATACAAAACGAAACCACCTAACGACACACTGCTCAGGACGCATTCCCATCATTGAGCAACACCTGATCGCCACCCGAGCAACAGCACCCAGATCTGCAGCCGGAACTCAGGCTGCCTTGGGTCCCAAAGGCGCCGAGCTGAGAACCCGCAGATTGAGGCGTGAAGCACTTCCAGGCGGGGCCCGGGGGCCCTCACCCTCCCCACCCACTGCAAAAGCAAACCACCTCCCCTGCAGGCCTCAAATAATTCCTACAGATAAACATCTAACGAATATGAGCTCACGCCAAAAATCACACACACAAGACAAACCACCGCGGGCAAGGTCAGAATCAGACCCAGAAACGCCTCCAACACTCACTTCCAGACACAGAACACCAAGCTGTCAAAAGTACAAAACCACAAAATCTGACCCAGCAGCTTTTAAACATCCACGCCAATCTCCTGGAGATGAAACACATAGTGCTGGCCTGTGGCGCTGAACGGACAGGTCTGACGGCAGATCACAGCGGCAGAGACCGCCAAGC